CTCCTGCACTGGCGCAAGCGGGTTCTTAGACTTACACTAGATTCCTCAAATAATACCTCTATAATTTCAAACTATTTCTTAAGCAAGTTAAATAGTCTTGGCATAATTCTCTAAAACACATAATTTATGTACTATAGATTCCCCTTCAGGGCAACAAAATTCACATACTATATTGGTATTTATAACTGTGTGTATTTACCAATACCGAACACTTACCATACAGCAATTTCGGACCATGATAAAATACACAGTTTTAATGGAGCACTGAAAACTATGTTTGCAACCAGCTTCCAAACAAACCTCCACAGTCAAAGCCCACTAGTAAACATAAGATTTATGGGGCAGAGATCCTAACTAAAAATGCCAATTCTATCCCTTGGTCACTGCTCCCACACTGCCACCTCCTGTCTTATGACTCTACAAGCCTGAATCAGAACCAACAGCTGATAAAGGAACCTCCACTAAAAATAGTAGACTCTTTCCTCCCAGACCAAACCAACTACCAGCGTTGCTGAATGGATAATTCACAGTTTTCAAAATTACTGCTAGAATAGCTGCTGTCTGAATGCTGTTAAAGAATGTTCAAATGGAGCTGCTTCAAAATATATATCAAGGTGGCTCAACAGCTTCACTTTAATATGGAATCCCAGACCTACAACAACACATGAGCTGCAGTGGTGTGACTCACAAAAGCCTTTCCAAGTATGGTGAAGATCGTGTCCCTCGTGCTGACTGCCCAAACGAGGTACAACGGCAAAAGCAACTAAGCTGCCATACTTCAGAAAAGAAATGCAAGCTCCTTACAGGGGAAAGCCCATCTCTCTGTAATTCCCAAATACACCTTTAAATCTTAGCTGGTAACTCACTTATTTCAAGCAGAACTCACAACTCTGAACAAAGTATGCCCCTTGTTAGTTTATTATAATGGCGTTTGGCATGAACAGAGAATGTAAGTCATCCCACAAATCAAAAGGAAGCCAGAAACAGAAGCCAAGATTCTCAGTTCCCACTGGCTCCAGGCACATGTCATGTTGTCAAAATGTCTTCCTTGTTATCACGGACACACAGAAGCTACTTATCAATATATATATTTTTTAATCTAATAAAGTGAGAAAGAAAAGCAAGAAATCTTTCTTTCTCAAACTGTACTGAGAAAACAACATGAAATCAAGAAAAATCTCATTGGCTACAACCACTTAAGCAGTCATGCATTACTGCTCTTAAACCCTGCACTGCGAAGATAGCCTTTACCAGCCACGGAAGTTTCCTCAACTTCAGGTCTACGAATGTGTGAGAAATTTCCCTAATTCACAAGATTCACCTGGACCACCGATAACCCAGGAGCATCCCTGGTAATACACCTTGTGGCATATCTTGTTAAAATATTTAGCATTAAAAAGAGCTTTTGATGTCCTGAGACACCACAGGGTCTTATGCCCTGGCTAACTGGCACAAGGCTACACCTGGCACCATCCTAGTCTATACTTCACTGCTTTCAAATAAAATGCAGCACTAACTTTTACACAGCCATTTAAGGTAAGATATATTTAAAACCCCAGTAACTTTTATACATGCTCTATCCCATTTACATGCTAAACACAAGATTCTAATGTGGAAATAAGTTATCCATTTAATTTCCTTTCTTTAAAAATTATTTCAAAGAAGCAAAAAACAAAAGATACTTGAGCTTAGGCACCACCGTTTATTTTAACAGATCCTTCCTGGAAAAATATTAATTATAATATCTCACTAATTTTTGCTTTTATTCAAATATGTTTTTGGCTACATACAAATCTAATTAAGGTTAACAGCGAAAGCATGAGGAAGTTTAAGCTAGAAAAAGTTGGAAAATATGACAACTTTCATAATTTAAAAGTAGTGGAAAACAAACCACCACCCTTTAAGTTCCCCAGTGTCAGCGACTTTCTTGTTCCCTCTCCCATGCCCAACAGCCCACAACGTAACAAAAGGAAATCAGTGCTATTTACCAAAATACACATGGGCACATACAAGGTCCCACGAGATACCAGTGACTCTTCCAACCCAAAGTCAGCTATGGTCTTCCAAAGCCGCGACAATTTTCACACCCACCTTCTCCTCCAGGGGTAGGGAGGGAAATTATTTTTAAAGCTTATACGTCCAGAGTGAAGCCAGGTCTTCATGTGTTGTGTCTTCCAAATTTGGAACAAAAAGTGCAATACTATCACAGATACTCTATGCCATGTTCTCTTCATTCTGAATGCAGAGGATCTCAAACTCTGAAGCACTGCTATAATCTCCCCCAACTGAGGGGTATCTGAATGCAGAAAAGCAACATTCCTTCCACATTCCCTCGAGACAGGAACTAAGCTTGGTCTGAACCAAGCTCGGAGATGCCCCTTCCAGCAAGGGTCCGCCCAGCTCTGCTCCCCCAGAATTCTGGCCAGCCTACCACGCGTCACATCGCATGGTCACACCCATCGGCCTGCTCCCCTGTTTAGCTGCTACAAGTGCATTCACCCATCTCACAGTGCTGCCAGAAGCAGTCTCCAGCCTAGGGCTCCCAACATGCCTTGCACAGCAGGTATAAAGGTCACTGTTGGACATGTGGGTGTGCCTGCCTTAGATGCCCACACGGTGATGGGATGGAATGCAATGACTCCTACGCACAAACAACTCCACCCGGAAGCCCAGCAGGCTCACCAGCAAGGACTGGGCATCGGCATGCAAGTCACTCTCATCAGTACCACCCGACCATCCTCTAGGTGCTGGGTATGTGGATCACCGAGGTGCCTTCTCTGCTCTCTCCCAAAGCCTATTCAGACAGTGGAACAGTCCAGATAAGGAAAACTGCAACACCGTTTCAAGGGTCAGTTAAATCCAAATTGTAATAGAGGTTCCCAGCAAATCTCCCTAGGCAGAAAAACCAAGCTCCATTATTGGTTTTAACCACTTCAATACAAGCAAAGGGCTTCCTTGATGGCTCTCTTAATAAATCAGTAAAAAAAAAAAAAAAAGTTGTCCCTAATGTACTCACTCCTCTTTACTTTGCTAGTTAACACCGTATCATTCAAAATCCTGAACATTTCAATTACTAATGAAAATCAGCTAGAAAATTTAATCTACCTTGTTCATCAATGGAAGCTTCTCCAGTTTAATACTTCCTACCACTAGTAACATTTTACTTTCTGTGTTTTCTTCAATAGTTACTTGTTACTTTATGACAAAGAGGCTGCTCCTAAGTATGTTTTTAGGTTGGGCAAAAACTTTGAAGAAAAAAAGCAGTCTCTTACCAGACCAAGTTTTTAATTCCCTACACATGAGGAACAAACTCACACAAGGTTAGAGAAGGCGAATCAGGAGAGTAAGGGAAACTATTTGCACTCACAGGCAGGTCAATACATTTAAAGTTTAAATTTAGCAACTCCTGAATGTTAAAATGTCAGTTCTTCAACACAACTATTTGCCTACTTCTTATTCAACATTTGAAGAAAATTAATAAGACACAGCGGCTAAACAAAAACCAATTAGAATTCGCAGAATACGCTTACATTTTTTTTTCCAGTAAGGAAACAATACAGACTATCCCTTTAAATTTGTTTTTAAGATACGACTTCTTCCCCAATTTTTCAATTGATATTAAACTGAGATCAATTTAGATAGTTTTCAATACACATTCTATTGTTTTAGAAGCTTTTAAAATTCCATTCTGCTATATAAAATAATTTGACCACTACCAAAATTCCCAGCTAGAACTATATCACTTCCCAACTATCCTAATGAAAATTAAGTATAGTACATGAAGAGAAACCCATGAGAATCCCACAAGCTCGTGAACAAAAACACAGTTGGTGGAAATTATTTACCTGGAAGAAAACTCCATCTACAAACAGGCCTAAGATGACCTATTGGGTAGCCCATTCTCCAAGTCAAGCACCAGGGAAATGCTTATCAAACCCTTTCAGCCCTCCAGCATACACACTTGCACCAATACCTAACCAGATGCTGCTCCCCCTCCGGCTGCTCTAGTTTAAATTAACTTCCAGCTTACCGCTGGGCCACGGGTTGGCAGTGGGGGATGGGGGAAGGCAGAAACCCTCACCCCACTGGGCAGAAACCAGCGAGGCACAGGCCAACCCCGGTACCCCCTAGGAGGAAGCAGGGCCTTTCCAGCCGGAGTTAAAGAGCCGGGATCTGGCCTGCTCGGGAGAAAGGAGCCATTTCTCCAAAACAGTCCAGGGATTAAAAGTCTCCGAACACTTTGTAAACTGACACAGTACACGTGCTTTCCAAAAAGTGCAACCCCTCCTTGTTGAGGAAGCAAAAATCTTCAGCCTTATCCATCTCTTGGTGGTTTATCTACAAGCCAAATATTTTTTAAATTGAGGAGCAGGGTGGGGGGAGGCCGGGAGACAAAGGCGGGTTTGCAGAAAACAGTCTTACTCTGCAGAAACTGAAAGGCGCTTTTGGGCAGGAGAAACCCAGGCGTTCCCTCACGGGGCGCTCCCAGGGTAAAGGCAAATTCCTCTCCCCTCAGATGTGCGGACGGCCCCCCAGACTCTTGCCCGCCACCGTGGGACAGAGAAGGGAAAGGCACGCCACACCCGCGCGCGGCCGCAGCTGCTTTCACCTCTCCTGTGCTTTCGGGGCGGGGGGGGGGGGGTGACCCCCTGCTTCCCAATTCCCACGGATGCCCAGAAACTGCCCTCGGAGACTCTCGATTTCCTGTTGCACCAACCTGACCTACTCTGCCGAAGAACATTTAACCGAAAGAGCTTCCTTAAGCGACTTTATATACCAGTATAAAAAGCCGGTGGCAGGGGCCACAGACGAGCTATCTAGTCCTACAGACCAGTGTGCACACACACACACACACAACTGCCAGAAAAATAAATGGAAAAGAAAACGAAAAACGCCAAGCCACACAGCAACCCCAGTAAGTGGAAAAGTTGTTTTCAGCTGTGTTCTCTCCTCCCGATGGCCGAGAAGGGAATCAATGAGAACATGCTAAGCAAGCTCACCTCTGCCTTTTGGGGACCGAGTGCTCAACTTCTATGAGTTTTCCGTGCAGTTCCACTTTACCTGCGGACACACAAGAGGTGCAGGACAGTTGGCCGAGTTGAGCGGCTCTCTGGGCCTCCTCAGACCCCGAGCGGCTCGAGGCCGAGACATAAAGCGGCCCCGCGCGGGTGGGAAAGGAGGAATCAATGGGCAGAGGTCGGTAACACTCTCCCCGCCCCCCTCGGCCTTCCCCGCCCACGTCCCCCGAGACCCTAGCAGACAAACTCGGGGCAAAGGGCTGCGTGGGCTTTCCTCAGGTGGGGGCGCCTAGGCCCTTCTCCCGGGGGTTCCGGCCCAGGCCGCCGGGAACGGGCGGTGAGTGGCGGGAAAGGCTGGAGGACCGCCGGGCAGGCGCCGAGAGCGAACGTCCAGAGGCGCAGCTGGGCACCAGCGGAGCCACGCGCGAGGGACGGCGCCCGCCACTCCGAAAAGCACGCGGCTCTAAGCGGGACCCGAGCGCATCCTTCCCCCGCGCGCGCCCGACCAGCCCCGGAGGCCTCGGCCCGAAGCCCGGCCCCGCAGGGGGACGCTCTCCCTGGCCGCCCGCGCCCACCTACCCCTGTAGCTCGTCGGACCCGGGAAGGTGGAGCCCAGAACCTGGGGGTTGCCCTCGCCCGCCTCCCCGCAGGGTCGAGGGGAGCGCGGGGCCGCCCGTGCGCGACACCAGCCCGCGGCCTCGCTAGGCAGCGGGATCCAGGCCACTTTGGAGTTCTCTTCGCGGCCCAGCTCTGGGGGCAGGAGAGGAGGCAGCGAGTCCACCGCCAAAAAACCCCCCACACAGAGAAGCGGGGGTAAGGAAGGAGCGAGAATCCGGCGTTCGTTCCCGGCCCCCAAGGCCCGCCGTGCCGGAGCCTGGAGCACGCGCCTGGGCCCGGGCGGCGCGCGGGGCGAGCTTCCCCCTCCCCGCTCCAGCACCCCCAGCCCCGGTCCCCGGCGCCGCACGGTGCCCCGGCTCCCCTCCGAGCCCGAGTCGGGGTTCTCTGGACAGCGCGCTCGCCCTCCGCCCGCAGATCCGGGCGGGGGAGGGGAGCCGCGGGGCCGGGTAGGCGCCCCGGCTGGGGGAAGGGCCCCGACCCGCGCGTGCGGGCGCCCGGGCCTCGGCCGCCGTCCGCAGGCGCACCCGCACCCGCCCAGGCCGGGTCCCGGTGCAGACAGCAAGGTGTGGACTGCCGCGGGCCCGACCCCGGCAGGCCCGGCCCGGGGCCCACCTGAAAGCGCCTCGATGGCCTTGAGGGCCCAGCTGTCGTCCGGACAGTCCACGAACGCGTAGCCCGTCTTCACCAGGAAGGGTCCCGACACCGGGATCTTGGCGTCCTTGAAGACACTTTCTAGGTCCGAGGGAACGGCGTTCTCGCTGAGGTTTCCGATATACAGTTTGTTCATTGTGAAGAGTGGTTGTTGCTTTTAAAAAAAAAAAATTAGGAGAAAAACGAAAAATTAAAACCACCCACAGCGATGGATGGATCCGGCGAGTTCCCCTCCTCTTCTCGCCGTTAAAATACACAAACACAGTAAGAACCAAGGACAGGAACAAGAAGCGGAAAAAAAATCAGATCCGAGGGTTCCTGTTTTTTCCTTTCCTAGGTATTAAAAGAAAAAAGAAAAACCCTAGCGACAACCCAAACGCATCCAAGAGTCTTCCTAACTCGGAGGAGGAGGCGGGATTAGCGAGAATAAGGAGAGGAAGGAGGGGGGAAACTACTTTTTGTCTTTTCCTCCCCAAACCCTCTGGCATCGACCGACGGACTGTGAAAATATCACACTACGAGAGGGCAAGCGCCGCCTCCCCGTAAAAAAAAAAAAAAAAAAACCAGAAGGGTGACTGGCAGGAGGGAGGGGAGAAGGGGTGGAGGGGAGGAAGGCGCAGGAGGCGGAAAAAATCCGCTCCGAGTGTCCGGCTTTTTGAATCAGCCACGTGTTCAAACTACAAATCAACGTCTCACGTGAGGAATCCCAGCGCCTCAATTAGAGTGGGTTTCGCAGGGGGAAAAAAAAAAAGAGCTAGCAAGAGGAGGAAGAGGGGGAGGGGTAACGAGATTGGGCGAAGGACCCTGCGCAGGGGCGGAGAAAGAGGGGCGGAAAATGCTAAAGGAGCCGCAGCCGGGGTCGCGGAGGCGAGCGCGGCTGGGGGAGCTGATGGTCACCACGGAGTTTAGAAAGGGTTATTTGGTCGGGGCGGATCCTCCGCGAGGGGAGAGGGGGCGGGAGGAGTATTGATTTTTTTTTTTTATGTGATTGGAGTGGGGGTGCTAACTAGGCAATCCCTCAGCTCTATTTACCGGAGTTTTAAAGGCTCGATTTTTAAAAATAGGTAATCAAACAAAGCCGAAGAGTCACAATTCCGAACTCGCCTTGTGGCTTCGATGACAGGAGAAGTGTAACCTCAGCAAACCGCGAGCACCTTTCCAGGGGTTGGCGGGGACGGAAACGCAGCGGTGGGGGGGTGGGGTGGGAGGGGGGCGGAGGGGCGGGCCGCCGCGCCCCACCCTGTGCACCCTTTGCTGGCGGGGGCACCGGCAAAGTGGGGCGGCCCCGAGCCAGGCCGGTGGGGGGATGGGAGCCCGCGGCGTCCTGGGCGGCTGTCTGGGCGACACCTCCTCCGCCTCCGCCTGCGCTCGCGGTGGCTTTGGGCTTCGCGTTTGCTATTGGTTGCGCGATTCAGAAAAGGCTCCGGGATCAATGAGGCCGGGGGCGGGCTTGGCCACCGGTGGGGGAGGGGAGCGCAGGGGCCGAGGTTTCTGGTCTGGGGATGGGGGGGTCCCAGGCCTCGGAGGCCGGAGCAGAAAAGTCAAAGTGGGAAAAGTCGGTATTTAAACGGAAACCATTTCTTCCTGTAGTTTCCAGAGGAGGAGGAAGAGGAGGAGTGGGGTAGGCTGGTACTTTTATTTAAAGAATTTTAGTTGGAGAACTTGGGACTCTTAAAACAGGAACACCGCTCTGCGTTACCCCTAAGTGGTAACTTGTACTTGAAAAATTGCTTGAGTCTCTTTCTGCTGCTTTTCTGCCTGCATTTAGCCATTATAGCCATTCATAATTTCCCCTGTATGTAACGAGTACAATGGTGGGCGGTGGGGGAGGGTCTGGGCCCGATGGAGCCTTACAGAGCCAACGAAATGAGGACTGGAGACGAGGAACACGGAAATGAGTGCTGGGTTTCTTTTCGAAATCGCCAAGAGTCGTTTAATGATTTTGTCCTCCACTCAAAGGCTTCATTTGCAGCAGGATTCTTGTGGTATATTTTTAACAGGTATTCCATGGAAAAACAATGCTTATTTTTAGAAAATGATTGCAATTATATATATTAATAGGATGGAAATTTAAACAGTCTTTATAATCACTTAATACTCTTATTATTAGAAAAATGTGTAGTAGAGAAAATACTGTTTACACTATATCATCAGTAATTATGATAAAGTTCATTTCTTTTGGTCAAACCCATACATTTAAAGATGTATACTTTTCAACTGAAAGATGAATGGAAAATTATTTTTTCAATATGTGGGAATGATTGTATGATACAAAGAGCATTTACATTTTTTCTTTTAAAAAGAACTTACAATTTTGTGTTAAGAAACCGGAAGGTGTCAGATCATCCATTTTAAATGCAACTGTTCTAACAGGTTTTTCTTTCCTGCCAAGCAAATCCAACTTTTTAAACGTAAACTCACTTTCACAATATTTTCATTCATGTTTAGTTTAGTGAAATGTTTTTACTTTATGATATGGAGGGTGTAAACATGTTCTTCAGTGTTTACAACTGTATTATGAACAGTATCTTCAAAGAACATTTAAGGGGTGAAATTTTAAATTTATGGTTATAACTTTTTTAAAAAGCTTACTTATTTTAACTTTTCATATTTTTGAAGAGAACCTTCGTTCCAAGAAAGAAAAAAACACGTGTATTCTTTGATTCTGTCATATTCAAAATGTAAATATTAAATTATAAATTTTAATTTACCTGTTGGATGTGATCAAAAGCTATTTACAGAAATGTACTTTTCATTCACTTAGTAATATTTGCTTTTCTTTAAATTTTAAAAACTAGTCTGTTTATCATTTAAGTTTTAGTAATTTTTCTTAAAAACAATTTTCTATGTTCAACATGCTTTCAAAAATCAATTGAATGGTGTCTTCTGGATTGTTGACTGTATTTGCTCTTACTAAAACTGAGACCTAAGAAAATATCTACTTCTAAAGCATGGGATAAAATGTTTTTTTTCCATAAATACTAGTCCATGCCTGTCTTTCACTATCAAATCTAACAGCTGGGATTTAAAACAAGTGTGTGCAGTTTTGATGAAATATGTTCCTGGGGCTCTTGTGAACTTAATTTGTGTATTATTATAACAAACTGGATACTCCGTCTAGGACCTTAAAAACATACACGAGTTACATAAGCTCAGCCATCAAAAAGGGAGTTAAATACAGTCCACTCCATTTCGACTCTTCCATGCATTTGAGGGATCAGTAATATAGTCAATGGCTGAGTAAAAAGAGCATGGGTAATTGTTTTTTTACTGACATTTCAAGTGTAAAAATACCTTCGGTGGATTTTCAAGAATGCTTATAAGGTTAATCTAACTTCCAGTCTTAATGAGTATCCCAGGAAATTAACCGTGTGTATGGGCTACTCCAAGTTCTTTCTGAAGCAGCAGCAGCTCCTAGTAAATGTTAAGTCCACGAAGGACTCCCACCCATTGTATGTGCTCTGATGCGGTTGAGGCTTCCCAACTGCAGCCTGTTTACTCTTTGGACAGCTGCACTTCCTCCTGATCTCCTGACCTGAAGGCAATAAAAATGTTTCTTATGGGGCAGTGTAATATTAAAGGAGAAAAACCGTGTTTAGAAGGTCGGTTACCGCTGCTGTATCTACAGGTTATGAGCGACGGCTTAGCAGGTAGAGGAGGGGGAGAGGGCATTCTTGTTGCTAACCCTAACTCCCGGCTTCCTCTGAGACCAGCCCAAAGCCGAAGCCCTTAAGGCGGGTGGGCACGTAATGCCGCGTCGCCTGGGCCTCATAGAAGGTATTTTTTAACATACTCTTGCTCCTTCGAACAGCTCTCGTGGACTCTGATCTGTTAAAACCAGATGCATAATAATAAGCGGTAGCCTGGCTCTTCCCTCTCTTCGGAATATGCCTTCAGTGATTTTTATTTAAAATAAAAGATGGTGCTCTGAGAGATGTTTCCTCTTGCCACCGGTCCTGCCGGGAGAAACTGGGCGGGATCCTTCGTCGGCCGCTGCTCGCCTCGGAGGCCCTAGCCCACCCGTCCGCCCTAGCCCCGCCGCGCGACAGGCACCTTCTGGCTGCGTCTCGGCTTCGGTCCCTGCGCGCGGAGCTGCGTGGACGCGTTAGACGTGGGGGCCCGGGCAGGGGAGCCTGTGTCCCCCTCGCCGCGCTACCCGACCTGAGCACTGCCCTCGCCCGCCGGGGCGAACCTGGCGGCCCTGCCGCACTTCCGGCCTGTTTCCAGTGTGCGAGGGGCTCATCGGAGCCGGGGGATGGTTGGTACCCACGAAGAAAGATCGCTAGGAGCAGCCGCTGAGCCCGCTGCCTCTGGCCGGGGCGGGGCGGGGCGGTGAGAGAGGAGCGCTAGGCGCGCAAACGCGGCTCCGGGGAGGAGTTTCGCGCTCCTAGGGGCCGACTCGCCGAGCCCGAGTTAGAGCAGCCGGCGTGGAGAGAGACGCCGCCCCTGGCTGCGGAGGGGGCAGGGGGCTTCTCTCACCCGATTGGTGGACGGAGGGAGCCTATCACCGTCGGCTGCCGCCGCCGAAGCAGTTTGCTGGTTTCCATTCATTGGCCCCCGAGCCGCCCTTGGATTTCCATCTTTTGTGGCGCGAAAATAACCCTTTGCTCCCTCTCATTGGTTTTGTTCTTGTTGAGGGGTGAGATTGGCTTCCCCTCTTGCATCTCTCATTTTTCCTGCCCTTTAACTGTGAGCCCAGTCCTAACCCCCAAGGAGAAAAGAGGGAGACAACTGAGGAAGAATGAAAAATAGTTGTGCATGTGAATTCCGCCCCTGGGGCTGACCGCGTGGTGCCCGCTGAGTCCCTTCCCTTCCCCCAACGTCCAGCGTCCGGAGGTCGTAGGTTTGCTCCTTGCTCCGCACTGGAGCCACATCGTTTCCCTGCTCGACTCCACCGACGCTTTAGAATTTATATGTCTTTTTTAGTTAAATTAACAATACGTTTCTAGGTGCTTGATTTTTCCAGGGCTTCTAGAGAAATCTACGTATTCCGCCCCCTCATTTCCTAACCCCCTTTATGGTCCACAGCGTTGTTTCACACAAAACCAAACAATCCCCTCCAAAAAAAGCAAACGAAAAATTCCTGGTGAAACCAACTCTACGGAGACCACGTTTTCGTTAAAGCTTCCCTAAGAC